GGGCTTGGACACTGTCCCTAACCTTTTGTGCTCCAGGCTAGTGTTCTACCACTTGGGCCACAGCTCCCCTTTTGGCTTTTAATGGTTAATTGGAGATAAGAGCCTGGGCTGGTTTTAAACCGCAGTTCTCAGATCTCAGCCTCCTGAGTGGCTAGGATTACAGGTGTTAACCACCAGTGTCTACATGTCCTTAGATTTGTTTTTTGCTCAAAGCTGGCATACTACCACTTGAGCCACAGCTTCATTTCTAGTTCTTTGATGGTTAATTGGAATCTCATGAACTTTCCTGCCAGGCTGGCTTTGAACTGTGATCCTCAGCTCTCAGCCTCTAGAGTATCTAGGATTACAGGTGTGAGCCACCAGTGCCTGGCTAATTGGAAATTTTAACCATAGAGTCACACAAAAGCTTAAGAATTCAATCAGAAGTACTTATTTTAATATGCTACAATGACTATGAAAGAATTTACAGCCCCTTCGGTTCAAAGGCAGTTTGACTAGACTAAAGACAGGTAGTGATCTGTAGAGGCAAGAAAAAGCAAAATCTAATCAAGCCCTGGGGGAAGCTGCTAGCTTCCAAGACCCCAGGAAGTGCAGAAATGATAGCACTTGAATCAGGAATGGGAGGGGCAAAATTCTGACAGTGACCAGATCCATTCTATGTATGAGCAAGGACACAGCACTATGAATAGATAGGTTGCCACTGGCCTGACTGCTAGCCTTCTGCAACCTGGATGTGTGGAGAAGATACTTCCAAAATAATGCAATTATTCCCTTAAAAAGTAGGGATCATTCAAACCTGAAAAAAATCTAGAATTATATTTAGAAACAGAAATCAAACTCATGGCATTCACGTTTTGGAGGCACCCAGAAATCCATGCACACTTGGGGTATCTGGCTTTAAGATTTAATCTGAGGGCTGAGAATGTGGCTTAGTGGTAGAGTGCCTGCCTACCAGGCATGAAGTCCTGGGTTCAATTCCTCAGGACCGCATCAACATAAAAAGCCACAAGTAGCACTGTGGCTCAAGTGGTAGAGTGCTAGCCTTGAGCAAAAGAAGCTCAGGGACAGTGCCCAGGCCCTGAGTTTAAGTCCCAAGACTAGCCAAAAAAAAAAAAAAAAAAGATTTGGTCCGAGAGGCTAGCATTGCTTCTGCCACATTGTTTCCCGCTCAAGGCAGAGAGTACAAGTGGTCAGTTCCATCAGAAGATAGACTCCTTGCATTTAAATCACCTTTTATATTGCTATCTCCACTCTTCAAAAAAGTTCAGGAAGCTTAAAAATGCATGATATAATCCAATAAAAATAGATGAAAACATTGCCCTGAGGGGAAAGCAGAAGGAAAGGAACAAAGCTAGGGTCAAGGTCATGCACAGAAATGGTAAGCTTTGTAAAATTGCTAAAGGTGCTTGCAAATTCAGATGACTTTTCTAGGGGCTAAAAGCAAAGAATTGTGGCCTACAATGAAATTCAAAGTATACAAAAGATTAAAACACACACACACACACACACACACACACACACACACACACACACACAAAACTAACCTGGTACTGGGTATAGCTCAGTGTAGAGCACATGTTTAGCATGCATGAGGCCCTGGATTTGATCCTTAACACCAAAAAAATAAAGTATGGATATAAAAAAAATAGGCCAGGGCTGG